TTCAAAAAATTTAACGTGGGGGGCAAATTTTCATAAAATTTTAACGTCTCGAGCTTGTCTAAGGGCTGGGTAAATTAAAAAAATATCATAACGGGTGAGCCGGGTAGGGAAATTAACAAAAAATTACAATGGGCTCGAACCGGCCTATCATGAAATTTAATGGGCCAGCAAACTTGTGCAAAAATTCTTAACGAAACAAAGCGGGGGGCTTTGCCGACCTCTAATTTACATTTTATTTTTTTTATCTAACATAGGTCAAATTAACATAATAATATATAATATAATAATAATGTATAAATAAAATAAAATTCATTATTGCATATAAATCAAATCTTTGGTTTATTAAATATCTTAATTATTATGTATCTAAATTTTAAACGATGAAATTACTAGACCCAAAAATAAAATTCACAATTTATTTATATAGATTTTTTTCCCATGAGTATACTAAAAACTTATAATAATATATTTATTTATTTTTATATTTTCAAAACGATTATAATTCTCTTTAATGAGATTAATATTAATATATACTAGAAATGTTATTACACAATGTTAACTTCGAGTGAAAATGATTAAAGAAGGGTATATTATTATTAAATATTAGAAGATAAAATTCGTTGAATCTTAAAGATATATTATTTTTTAATAGTCAAAATGAAAGAATTTGATAAGTCCCTTGCTAAATGACATTAAATTTTATCGTGAAAAAAGAAATAAATAAATAATTTTAAAGAAAGGAGGGAGGGGTGGGGGGGGGGGAGGTTCGCATGAAATCGTATTTTATCATAAATTATCAATATCCTTTTATTTTGCATATTAAAAAAAAAATTAGTTCATGATTAAATCCCAGCCTAAAAATTAAAATTGAGAAAATTCATGATCAAAAAAATTATTAAATGACTAGTCTTGTTTCTGCCATCTATGAGCAAAATCTTCAAGTACATAATATTATTTTGTCTAAAATCTTAATCGAGCCATTTTCAAAAATCAACCCAAAACCTGGATTAAGTACCAATTCTAGAATATTGACGTTTATCAAAACGTGGTTATAGAAATTTTTTAACTGTTAATCTTATATTTATATAGCTTGCCTGTATAGAGAGGACAGTTTTTCTAAACATTTAAGTAAATCAAGATTATCCTTCAAATTAGAAGGGTTCATTTTAATAAAATTCTAAAAAATATAAAGAAACCCAATCAAAAATGAGCAAAGGAAATCAAAAAATCTGGGTTCATCAAATTATTAAAAAGTAGAGTTACGCAGATCTACTTTAATCTGAAAATAGAAATTTTGGGATTTTTTGACATGCCAACTTTGTTATCTGATAAGTGTTTGAATACCATCAATGTTAATTAGATTATAAAACATATATATTAATATTTAAGAAATAAGTAAGGAGATATTTATTAAAACAATCCATTGGCCCTATCCAACCAAATATTTATTTACCCGAGCAAAAAAAACAGCTTAAAATTTACATACATTTGAAAATTTAGTAATCACATTTTCATAAGTTTATATCCTTGACATTTCCTTTGATAAACCTGTTTTATCCTTCTTTAAATATTTGGATCCGCTCTCCAACAAACCTCGAAAAAGCCTTTTCTTATAAAATTGGCTGATCATAGCTTCCTCAGAGTAAACTAGATTAGATTCAACATCTGTCTTCCCAAGAAGAGCTTTCCTAAGTTTTCCTTCCTTATTTTCTTCTCTGTTTTATTTAAATCTTTTTTTTAAAATCATTATAAATTTATTTATTTTTAGATTAGATGTATATTATTTGCATATAATATCTATTGATGTTTATTAAATTATATAATATATATATTAAAAATCTTGATTAAAATAACAAATATTCTATTTTAAAAGTCGATTCTTTTTAAATTAGAATTCCTTAAAAGATAGGAAAAAACTGAAATCATTAGGAAAAATAACTTAACACCCGTTATCAGAAGTAAATTTTGTTTCATATCGTTAGGGTTTATAGTTTAGAACAATAACATTTGTTAAATTTATGCTTTCAAATCAGTATATATAAAATGAATCAGGCCTGCAGGTCTCTGGTTGATATACATTTTTTTTTAAATTGGAAAAGAAAATTTAAAGCACGTTATAATTAATTTTATGGGATCTCATTATCCTTTGTTTCTTGTCAGGGGAGGAGGAGTGACTCCGTTGAATAATAATGTTTTTTTAAATAATTTATTACCAGTTATAATTGATAATATTATATTATCTAAATTTATTTTATTAAATTAAATATTTCTTATTTATTTGTTTTTTTTCTTTACAAAATTTAAAATGAAAATATTATTTAGATTTATTTTATTTTAAATAATAGAAATTAAACAATTTAGATTAAAAACCCGAGTTCTTTATAACTTAATTATTATATTTTTTCCTTCACATTATTTTGTTCACCTGTATTCAAATTAAATTTCAGAAAATAAATACAAAATTATACTTATCAGGTAAAAAAAATATTTTTAAAAAAGTTAATTAATTTTTTTTAATTATATAAATTAAGGTAATAATTTATTATGCAAAAACATGACAACTAAATAATATATTATTTTCTAAGGTTTTTTCTATTTCAATTGTTGTGCATCTGTATTTTATTGTGATAACAAGATTTTAGGAAAGTAATCTAGAGTTAATTTATTTAATTTTTATCTAATTTCTCGATTATTTTTATTATATTGTTCTATAGCTTTATCCTTGAAATTAATTTTTTTAGAGGTTAATTTTTGTTTCTGTAATTCAGGAAAGAGATTTTAAAATAATATATACTGGAATTTATTATTTAAAGCATTAAGAAACTTTCAGAGTTAGCTGTTAAATGTTCCAAATATTAACCATAGTGACTAAGTTTTGAAGCTTTAAAGAACATAATTTTGAGGATCGAAGATATTAAGCGATGCTATGTACCAACAGGCACATTTATTTCTATTTGAATTCATAAAATATAAGTATTTTTATAAAGCTATTTGCATCCCATATAATACAATCGACATATAGTAACCTAAGGAGCTGGCATTTGTAGACAAATCGAGCAAAGTCTAGTAATGACAGATAATTTTTTTTGGGATATTGAAAGGTACAAATCTTTATAAACGTTTAAATAAGGCTAAATCATAGTTATGAATAGAACAATGCTAGAATTCCAAAATATATTATTAACTTATAGTTTTGTCTTTTGAACTTTGGTTATTATAAATTTTTGTTAGGCTTCATTTTGGTTCCAATACAATTCCTGTGGAAAAAAGTGTGCCTTGTTAGTCTTGTAAATAATAAGTTACGTTTTAACTTTTATTTTAATTTCCAAAATATTTTTATACATTTTGAATTTATTTTGAAATTGTAGCAATAATAATCTCTATAATACCTATTTTGACCCCAAATGTTCAATGTTCTACTAACACCATTTCTAGATCTTCTTGAACTTTTAACGTTAAGCATTTGAAGCAAAGTAATTTTCTTTGAAAACTAACCTCCTCTGCCTAATATATACATTTTAAAAGATGCCATTTAAAAAGCAGAAGATCAGAATTAACCCAAGTTTTATCTATGTGGAATTTACCTTCATTACCAGAATTAATAACGCCATAGAAGAGCGTGTAACATACTTTTCATCCATGCTTACAAACCATTTCTTAAAAATAGATTAACATATAATTATTTTTTCCTGATGGTAATAACACTATATAAATGAGGCCCGTAGTCTTTTTTTAATCAAGGCGTGAGCTCCGTCCATTTTTCTACTTGTATTAGAGTCGCCACTGTAGCTTTACACTTGTTATGTTTTCTAGTAAAAAATAAATTTTATTAAATCCGATTTTTTTAAAGAAATTTTTTTTTTGTGGGGGTATAATATAGATTGGCTGCCTTTTAATTGGTAAATATTTTTCTCAATTTTCTATATAACAGTTGAATCATTTACATCAGATTTTATACTCTTATCTATATTTTCACTTCTTTCTAAATCTTCCTTATTTATTTCTTTGATTAAATGGTAGGGCTGGTTTTATACGTATGTGAACAATATCAAAAATGAGTTAAGTTATTATAGATTACAAGGTTTTTAGATATTCTTAATAATGAAATCATTTTGAGGTAGGGGATGAAAATATTTATCAATATTTAGTTTATTAATGACATCCCCTTAAATTTAATCTAAAAATTTCTATAAGTAATTTTTTTTAAATAAAACTATACCATAAAATAAAGGTAGGAAATGACCACAAAATAAATAAGGGTAGTCAAACTATCTTGTGGGGCATTGGATTTTCTGGATAAATAAGTTATCTCTTTCTCATGATTGAATAAAAATGTCATATAGTTCCTAAGATTCTGGAGAAAATGTCATTTATTTCTTAAGATTAGCGGATCAAAATACCCTGGTTCCGCAAGCCCCACTATCCGTAGCTTTACTAAACATGATTAAAAAAATATCTAGGTGATAGAATGTTCGTGAAACTATTTTAAAAAAAGTGTTCAAACTTTGCCATAAAGTTAAATTATATAAATATTTTTTATAAATAATATATATTATAATCTTGTTTAGCAAAAATTTTTAGATTGACATCAAGATTTTATTTCTAATATGAAATAATAGTCAATTCAAAATATTTTTTATATATAGATATGCACAGTATTAAAATCTATATTAAGGAAAATTTAAATATTCTAGCGCCTTCAATTTAAAAAATGGGATCTCAAGGTTCAATTAACCCAGTATCCTCTAATATATTAAAGCATTATTAATTTCTGAAAAGTCGATTTAATAGAGTTTTTGACTCTAGTTAATTATGAGCATATATGCCTTTATTTTTTTATTTTACTCTTATAAGATAGATTTTATTGATTAATATTCTTGTCTTTCCAAATCTGCATCAATAAATATAGAAAAAAAATTTTTTACATATTGAAACTGCAACTTTTAAGGTATATTATGATCAATATCTATATTACATCAAAATGATGTGTAATTTTACAGGAAAATGGAATTAAATTATTGCTGCGACTTCACACAATCAGAATTAGACAGCATATTATACGGCTACACCAAAGGGGATGATCATTTTTTTCAATACAAATCGGGTAAAAATATCGCATTTGCCCTTTCAGAAATGATAATTAATCCTTTAAATCAAGGTAATTTCAGTATAATAAGTTTATCAAATCTCTAAAAATTTATTTTAATTTTGAGCTAAAGCTTATGGAAAGTTTTGAAAATATTTTTTAAAACGAATAACTCAAATGCAAGCCTAAAAATTTTATTCATGACACAAAGGTTTGGATATTTATCAGCAAAATCTCGAGGCAGGCAATGTTTTTTTGGCTAAAATATTGAGTTAACTATTTTTAAAAATCGGATTAAATCAAGCCATTTAACAATTTAACACAACTATTCTTAGGTATGTTTTTATTGTATGTTCTTTCATTAGTATAAGTACTAATGGGTAGAGTTACCAAAATATATAATGTTTCTAATATATTAGGAAAATAGTCTAAAATGGGTTTTAAAAAATAAAAAGCATCTTAAAAAATTTTGGAACATTAGCAAACATATCTAAAAATTTATACTTTGCATTGGTTCTTCGTGTGTACTCCTGATTAACCATAAAATGAACATATAATATTTAATGACTTTCCGACTGTTTAATTTCTATTATTTTTAAAGGTTTTTAAAATATTTACTTACTATTGTTAATATTTTAAAATATTAAATAGGTGAATATAAGGACATGTATGAGAAATTTAATCTTATCAACAATACAAGATTACCAACTGGTTTATACAATCTTAATATAATTAAATTAACTTTCTTTCATTCTTAGGCTTAGCCATAAGTTATACCCTGATTTCCAATTTATTTCATTCTGGCATCTTTTGTCAGACAACTCTTATTCCCAAAGGAACCAAATTTGGACCACTACAGGGTAAGATTGAAAAGATGAATATCGAACTAAAACCTGACTTGCATAATGAAGTTGGCTTTCCCTCGGCATCATTTAATAAGGATAATAATATGTTCCAAAACAATATTATCAACATTGAAATTACCCAAAATAATAACGCAAATTATAATGAGAATATCTGTGATAAAGTTAATATCCTTAATGAAGGAAATATTAATAAATTTACTTGTGTTGAACCTACGAAGATCGATACTGCAAATAAAATAGAAATATATTCTGGATGGGAAGTAAATATATTTATATATATACCTTTTATTATGCTAAAAATTAAATAGGAGTTTATTTTTTATTTAATAGCTTCTAAAAAAGCATTTATTGAAATACTAAAAAATATTTTATTTTTAAAAGATTTTCGACGGAACAAATCAAGCCTGCCGTTTTATTCTTGCTCCAAATCCAAGAGAAAGACATCAAGATACTAAAGGTGATAACACTAATAGCACTCATTGGATGTTTATGGTTAATACGGCTCGATATCCTCAGGAACAAAATTTAGTTTGTTATCAAAACGAAAGATCGGAAATTTATTACGAAGTCAACAAAGATATAAATAGAGGAACAGAACTTTTGATTTGGTATGGTGATGAAATTTACGACCAATATTTTGGAATACCAATTGGACTTAAATCAATCATGCATGAACATAAAAATATGATTAAACAGGGATCACATTCAAATACAAACTCCATTATGAGTTCCGAATGGCTTGAGAGTGAGAAGATTGATACATTTAGGAATTTTTAATAATAAGAATGTTTAAAATGTTAATATTTTTGCTATCTCTATATGATTATCATAACAAGAATCCATTAAAATGAATATATCAATTTTTTGAATAAGAATCCGAAGGATTTCAATGTATTCATTGCGAAAAAGTGTTTGCCTATAAATATTATTTGGAAAAGCATCTAAAATATACACGGTGTGTTGATCAAGGAGATCGAAAATTCCCATGTCATCTTTGTTCCAGGTTAGTAGCTTTATTTAGTTCAAATTATAAATAAACCAACAAATTATTAATAATAGTCTTATAATCAATTCAATAAAGCAATAATGAGCGAGCTTATATCTAGCATAATGATGATAGTATAATCCATTCAAAAATGTAATCATTAACATTGTGAGTATAGTTATTAAAATAAGTTACAGATATCGATAGTATTAAATGTTTTTATTTGGCAACATTCTTCCCGGCCACAGGCTTAAATTATTAATTCCTAACTTGGTGAATTATCAATTTTTATATAGTTATTTTGATTTTTGTGTAAGTTATTGCCTCCTTATATTTTTTTGAATATCGATACATGTTATTTTATTAAAGACTCATTTGCCGATGAACGTTTCTATTACTTAAGGAGCCAAAAATACACTAGATTATTGAGGCGAAATATATAATAAACGCAATGGGAAAAAATAGAGAGACTTAAAAGTGGATCGTGTTTATAAAATCATTTAATAACTTTGCTTAATTAGTATTAGATATCATCATAATCGCAAATTAAAAATATAATAAATAATTTATTGCTAAATTGATTTCATTTAAAAGATTTCGTAAACTTGATCAGCTGCAAGCGCGTAAGCGGAAATTATTTATGGGGGGGGGGGATTTTTTGGAGCAATTTATTAGAACTAATCATCATATAAAATTTATTAGAAAAAATCATATTTTAAAAATGGCAATTTCGAACACAAATATAAAAATATTGGAAAATAGAAATACGAAATTTAAGAGTGAATATAATATTGTTAAAATTAAAGCGATACAAACCTGTATATATAAATCACAATAAAACAAAAAATTAAGCATTATGATCATGTCCTGGCCCGTCTTATTTTTGAAATTTATTTCTGTTTAGACTGGCCTATTCAGATTTTAAACTAGGACACTATTCTGCTTTGTTATAAGTATGTAAGCCGTGTCCTGATTCGTCTTATTCCTAAAAGTAATCAGTTTAGGAGTCTATATAGATTCCTCTAAATAGAATAAAAAGAGGTACACACATAAAACAAGCAGAATAAGGTGTCCAAGTTTAAAATCTAAATAGACTACTCCAATCAGAAATAAGCTTCCAAATAAGACTAACCAGGACAGGGTCATAATAAGTCTAAATAGTCTCTTTCTTTTTATTTTGTTTGGTGGTATTTGAGCTAAACAGATTTCTGATGACTTAAAAAGTTAATTAAATTATAAATAGAAATGTAATCTTGCGATTATGCCAATTTTTAAAAAACAGGTTGTTCGTTATTGGAAATTAAATCTCTATGTATATTTAGTATAGTTCATTCAATAGATTTTCTGATTACTTCTGAGTTAAGTTTTATTTTCCTTACTGAAGAAAAGGTATTTTCATTTGTACTTGGACTAATTGGTATTATTGCTAAGATATACATTAATTTTAATATAATTGGAAAACCTCCGATAAAGTATGCAATGCTTTCATGACATTTCTGAGGATTATCTACTTAAATTAACCATAATATTTTATGCCAGGATTCTAATTCGGAGATTAATTGGCCTTAAGATACATTATTATCCTCTGTATAAATTTGTTAAATTTTTTTAATATCAAGATTTAATACATCCTCAAAAGGATTTCTTGGTAATAGTATTGATTCTAGCAATCCTTTCAATCAAATGTGGAATAAAAACGGTTATGTTTTAGTAATCCTCAATTGAGTCCATGTTAATATTATCATGATTTATTTGTCTAATTATAATCATATAATTTCGCTTTCACCTCAACTCTCACATAAATCTTGTGAAATTCTTAGTCGATATTGTCTCTTAGTTTTCTAAGAATATTAGCCAAATCCATATCATTTTTTTGAAAAATATTTCTAAAATTGTTGTGTAATTAAATAATTTATTAATATATTCCAATGGAAAAATAAATCCTCTGTCGTTCCAGATTAAATATCTGGTTCAGGCCATTCTGATATTTCTCCGAGGGAACTATTGTAGGCTCTTCTATATCCAAAAGTGCTGTAACAGCTTGATTGCATGCTTTTTACAGTTTATTCTTGTAACACAAGTTTAAACTCACACTATAGAAATTGCACAATCATTGTTATTAGTAGAGATAAATATAAATTTTTTGGTTGATAAAATTTTCTTATATACATCAATGTTCAAGATATATGAGAAAATATATTATAAAATTTTACGGAATAAAATATTAATACACAAGGAAGAAATATTAAAATAAATAACTTTTTGCTAAAATTTAAAATAGAATATCACCTATTTGAAATAGAATATACTTTGAAATTTACGATTCATAAAAACTTTTTATATTATATCAAAATATTTATATGAAGAGAGGGGGGGGGGGTGTGGGAGGGAGAAAATGTCTTTCACCTCTTCGCTGCCTATGCACCTAATCAGCTATAAAATCGGTCAATAAACACTATAATGGCTAAGGGATGCGACGGTCAATAAACACTATAATGGCTAAGGGATGCGATTATTATTGCTAAACGATATCGTATTATTATTTGTAATTCAAATATAGCAATATGATGTTGCGCTATTAACGCGCTTACTAAACAAATAAAGCCTATGGCATATTTATAATTATGCGATAAAAAATAAATTATTTATTTATAATGCACATTAAGATCCTTCGAGAAAAAAGATAGACTGAGGATTCATGTTTTACACGTTCACGATAAGCATAGGCCTCACAAATGCGCATTTTGCGGTAAAAGTTTCTCTCAATCCTCTTCCCTCAATAAACATATAAGAGTCCATAGTGGTGAGCGGCCCTACAAATGTGTATACTGTAGCAAGGCTTTTACGGCTTCCAGCATACTCAGAACACATATGAGGCAACATAGTGGAGAAAAACCGTTTAAGGTATAATAATAATATAATTTTTATAGCTAATAAGTGTATCTATGTTACAGACAAGATAAAAATATATCCTACAATAAACTATTTTGCTATTTTCCAATTTTACATGATTCATTTGGAGCTTTTTTAAATTTCAAAAATTTGATTTGCCTGATATGTATATTTCATCATGTTTAAAATACTTCATTTTAGATATGGCTCTAAGATTCCTCCTGCTTATCGAATATTTTCTTTAACTCTTTGTTCAATTATATTGATTTTATTTAATTTCACTTTAAGTTCTATAATAAATAGAAGGTAAACTATGGAAAAATTTCTGATTAATTCTTCCATTAAACTTTATCCCTCTTTTATTGTTATCCCAAAATTATGTTCACACAAAAACGCTGATCTTACATTCATCTTTACTATGACCTTTAACTTAAGCAACCCCACTATTTTAACTCGGTTTTAGTTTAGGCAAACTTTACCTTTAAATCTGTATTTGATTGATATATCTGATAATTTAAAAAATTGGAGTTTATTTTCTCAAATTATTACAAATTTATTGTTCCATCAATTTTAAATGAAGATATATCTTTAATTTTTTTATAAAAAATATTTAGTGCAAATTTTGCGGGAAAGCTTTTGCATCGCACGCAGCCCATGATAGTCATGTTAGAAGGAATCACAATAACATTAACTCTAATATTCCGACTAAACAAATTAATCAAGAAAAAGTAAAGAAAATGGGACAAGATAATGCATTCAAAAATATTGTACTCAAAAATAATAACAACCATATTGACTTTTCCATAAAAGACGATCACCGATTGATCAATACAGATGATAACCAAGACAAGATAGTGAACGTATTCAAAAGTACTAACAAAAGTTTTAAAATTCCACCCATTAATTTGAGTAATGTAAGCAAACCAATATTAGATGATAGAAATTTAAGATTATTCTATAATGATGAAAATCATTTAGCTAGTGCCATGAAAGTTCAACCTTACCCAAATTTCGATGCATATTATACAACAAATACCAATTGCAACCTAAAGTCGTCCCCATTTCAAGTCGCTACCATGTGGACTCATAATAATTTAAACCACAGTCATTTACATAATAATCACCAAGCTTCTTATACCAAAATGGTATCTCTTATGAGCCGTACAAACAAAAACATTTGTTCAAATAATTTTGTTTCGACCAAAAATTTTCAATGAATTTATTAGAGTATATTATAATAAATGAATAAAATTGGTATAAAAAATAAAATTATAGTCGCGATCATCTTGGATGACATCCATCCAAAAAACGCTTACCTTGAACGAAAGGCGTCCACGTCTGTTCCCGTTTTATTTTTTAATTATATAATTATTTTGAATTATAATTACATTTATTTTTATATCCATATTCAAATACTAATTTTTAAAAAAATATATAAAATTACTTTTATTATAATAAAAGAAAAAATAGAAATATTAAAATCACAATTTTTCCACATTTATATAATATTGTAAGATATGCCTGTAATAATATTCAGACATTTATACTTGATCTTATATTTCTAATTTATTAGGTAAATTATTCCAATTGAAAGTTTAAGCATGATAAATAGTCTGCTTACATATATAATCAATCAACCCAAATTTTTTCCCTTCTATTTAGCAGCCCTCTAGGTTTATGGGCTTTCGCCCCCCCATACTTCTCTTTTGTTTGCCCTGCTTTGGGCAGAGTTTTAATTCATAGATTAATTTTGTCAAGTATATTTATATATAAATGCATTTGTTCTAAAACAATTTATGAATCATTTATGAGTATAAATTTAGAATCTGACTGAAATGAACAAAAAAACTTAGAGTTCTACTCAGGGTTGGCAAGTCGGTCAATTTATCGGTCAAATTCAGTCAGTTGACCTGTCAATTGACTGGAGGAGTATTTGACCTGGTCAAATACGGTCAAATACTCTAAAGAAAGGAAAATAAAGAATATGTTTAAAAAAGGAAAAAAGGATATAAATACATGTGCTCACAATGTTAAATATTTTTTGGGTCCCCAATATCAAGAGGAGATCTCACTAGTTGTGAATTCAATGAAGTATGTGTAATTCAAGAAACCATTTTAGAAGGTGGTGATGACTAAAATATTTTAAGGGACATAATTAATTTCAGAGGCAAAAACAGCATGTTTAATAGCAATTTATGTGGTAAACAGTAATTTACATAAGAAACAATCAATTCCAACCTCAAGTTAATAGATTAAACTTTGCCCTTGCCCATTAAGAGGCTAACAATTCCTAGTTCTACTTCTTCTTTAGAAAGAAATAGGCCGATTTGGGTTAATAATCTTATGAAAATAGAAATCGATTGAAGATCTCGACATCAGGAAAATTGATTAAAAAATATTAATAAAATGATAATATTGAAGAATCAGAACAAGACTCTGCTACAAACGTTATTTATTGAATGACAATAAATTTAAAAAATTAATATTATAGATTCATTTTATTATTATATTCATAATAAGTTAATACTGACTTGAAAAAACTTATATTCGAATTTGACCATATTTGACCGGTCAAATGCACAACCCTGGTTCTACTTGATAGCTTATTTAATCATTTAAATGTTGAGGATGATTATGGTATAAAGTGTGAAAAATTAAATATGAAAGGATGATAATTAAAGCCCATAGAATTTGGCCATCTCCACTTATACATAGGAAATGTATAAAATTCAACGCAACACAATTTTATCACTATTACGTAATTGAAAATAATCACAGCGCAATTTAATGAATACATAGCATTAGTTATAAATAGTTATAAAAAAACTTTTTTCTTGATTTAATTGTGACAAAATTTTTATTTGTCAAATCTATCTTGAGTCGAATACAATTTTACTATTTAAAATAGGATGAATTAAGATTTATAACATTGACAAAAAAAACATATAAATATATATTATGGATATCTTATTTAATAATTTTAAATACATGTTTGCAGAAATGAAAATCTGTGATAAAAAACTGGACTAATTAATATTAATTTGAGCATTGTTAAAATAAGTATAAAATATTTTGAAACAACTATAATAAAAATAATGTCCTTAATGCAAATTGGCCCCTCTAAAAAACAAAAGATAGAATGAGGCAACTCACGATTGACTAATTAGATTCGTAAAATAAGATATTCGAACAAGCATTTCAGAATGAAAAAGTAAACTATATAAATATTGAAATACATATGAGACCTAGACGTGTAATGGTAAGGTGGGGGGAAGGGGGGAGGGAGGTTATATTGTAATAAATTTTTTTGGAACATTATAATTCATTAAAATAATTATATAAAATTTATTAGAATCAATCATCGACAAATAAAAATATATTGGAAAATACAAAATATTTAAGCGCGAATATAATACTATTTTAAAAAACATTTAGATCAGGGCTTGGAACCGTTAAGTATAGCGGGTCTGTTCGTTTAGGTTTTTAGTTTAAAATTTTATAAAGGTTTTGTTTCATTTAGGTTTTTTTGAAGAAATTATATCGGTTCGGTTTCGTTTACAAATTCATAACGGTTCTTTTCGGTTCGTTCCGGTTTTTAAATTTGATTTAAAAAAAAATTAATCATAAACCATATATATAAATCTTAGAGAAAAATCTTATCAATTTATATTTTATATTTTATAATTTCTTATTTAATTAACAATGGAGATTATTTTTTATCTAATTAACTATTAATTTACCTAATCTCTATTAAATTGAGATTTTTTTTAAAGCCAAGTTCTGATAATTAGTAAAAATATGGGTTTGATTTTTTATGATGACATGAATATCATATCCTCTAAATACATCCAAAGTTATCTGAAAATTATTTAATAAAAATTTAAATCCTGAGAGTTTATTATAGTTTTTTAAAAGGGGAGAATGATTATTGTTTGATATTTAAAAAAAATAAATATTGTTTTGACCGAAATCTCTATAATTCTCACCATTTATATACATAATTACTGATATATGACCTCTAATTAATATTTAGAATTATAAATACCTTGTTATAAAATTGTTAATAAATAATAATAATAAATGAGTGAGAAGAAGTGTTTTTTATTGCTATCTCTCCTTCTTCCTTTCTCTAGTATATGCTCTATTTTTTATTTTTTTAAAATATATATTCTACAAAATGCTATTTTATAACAACACAAATAATCTTTGTCATATTCATATGACGTTTAAAAATAATGTCAATATATAATTTATTAACTATAATATAATATCGTTTAATGGGAAGCAAACTCAATATTTTTTTTAAAAGAGTCGAAAATCATGGTTTTCTTTGTCTCCACTTCCTAGCCTAAAAGTATATAATAAAATATAAAAACTACCTTATTTATTATTACTATTACTATTATTTAATTTTTAAATTTATTTTTATTTATAATAAACTTTGTATTTTAGTTTTAAAAGTTAAAATATATTTTCTATTTTAATTTAAAAATAATACTAAAATTCTATAAATAGTTATATTATATTATTCTTATATCCTATTTTTATCCCATTGTATTTTGTGAGTATTAATTAATTAAATTTGATTTATTTATACTTATTTTAGGTTTCTCTCAATACTAATTTAAAATAAAATTAATATAGCCAATCCCTTCCATAATTAAATTTTATTTAATCGGGCATGGGCTTTTACTCTCCTTTTATTTTCCCATGGGCGTTTAAGTAAGGGGCTCTGCCTCTTGCGCGCACAGGTAACTACGGCATGCCCAAAAAACGTGGATGGTCCTCTTAATTATTTAATTATTTTCCATCTTTTATCCTAGTTAGATTGGTTTTTTTCATGAGAGAACCAAGAGTTACTCTGTTGTATATACCTCTCTGTTATATATATGACATTTTAGGGCTAGTGCGCTTAATATCACGTATCAAGTAATTAAATTTATTTTCCCATTTTAAAAAATCTTTAAATATATAATATATACTTTGATTTATTTCTAATTCGAACAAAGTATGATTAATTTATTACATTTTTATACAATTATTTAAGAAATATTATAAATTAAGGTGAACCTTTTAATTTTATTATAACATGCTTAAATGATGATGGTTCGGAGACCAGATGAAGAAAAGGGCAAGTTAATCAGATCACTTATTTGGTTAACTAGTCAATAGATTCTTGGGGACTTCCCTATCAATATTATATATTTCACTTCGTGCATCCATTAGCTTAACATTTACGCGTGTTAAAACCAATAGGGTATAATTTCTTTTTTTTAAGTAATTGAATTGAATACTATTACAATTACTTTCAATTTTTTTTGTAATGATTTAATATTTCTAATTATTTTAAAAATGAGTAATTGATTGCCATTTACAATTAATCTTGAAATGTGACGAATTTTGCAATCATTTTTAAATATTCGGTTCACTAAGTTAAAATAATATTACAAAAAGCTTCTTTTGGTAACATTCATGTTACAGAATGTTTACTGAAATTTGAATATACTAATTATAATCATTTTTGATATCCTTTTTTTCTTACTTCCTTTCTAAGATCTTTGGGATAAGTTCTAAACTATTTTCTCTTGCAACTCATATAGAAATATTTTGCTATTTGTAGATAAAATTTTATAATTTTTTTAAAAACACTATTCCTTCATCCAAAATTTTTTGTTGAATCTTCAACATGAATTTCTCATAGAACTTTGTATTCTAGTTCAAAAATTTGCATTTCTATTTTTAAATAATAAGTGAGAAAACTAGTAATATGCAGAAGGAATGGCATCGGGTAATGACCTACTTGGTCATATCTTATATCCGATATGGGTACAATATTGATAGCTTTTCTTCTTTTTACAACTACGCTGTAAGGTCTTTCGGTCTTCTTATTATTATCCTTTCCCGATAGTCTCAACCCGTTTGCTATCTGCTATTTAAATTAGAGATCTGAAAACGTAGGCCCGACCCCTACCCGGCTCAGCAATGTCATATATTTTGTATTATTTAATGCTTTCATGTGGCGTCTATAAAGGAACCAGGAATTTATTACAAAAGAATTCAATAAATGGAAAACCATACTCATAATATGGCTTCCATTTAACTGTCCGATATAACTCCGCCAGTATATCGTTAAACCAAATCCCTCATTATGAAGGACGATATCACCACTAATACCTAAACATAATTTTATGACCTAAGTAGACTTTCCCTGGTATATTTCAAAATCCTATATAAACCCGGAAGAGCCACGTAGGGCAAACACTTTTATCCCATTTATGTGGCTTGATTTATGGTATTGTAATTTAGAGCGTCCCTTGAGAAATTATGAATTCGTCTACAGC